TAAGAATCCCTATTTGATTCTAGCCGCCTCCTCACTCCTGTATAGTAGTTGTGAAATAAGTTACTTTTGGCCAGGAGTCATGATTTCTTGTGTAGCATCAATTTAACGAGCATAATATACAGTGACTAATGTATAATTGTCTGGATTTTTTAACTCAAAGGGGATTCTGAAGCTTTCTTTCCTAAAATAGGAAATGGCGTATAATACTGTTAATTTTCTAGACTAAGGAACTGAGAATTTAATAACAAGGCTAGCATTGAGATAGTTGGCAGTACTGGTACCTCCAGAAGTAAGAGAATTTGTTAGATCATGAAAATAGTCCTTTGGAAATGGCATGAAAGTCACTAGAGGGACACAGCATATACTTCAAAGCATATACTGCAGACCACCTAGGCACATGTATTAAATATTAAGGCTCCAAAAAATATCTTCACTAAGTCCACTCATTTTGACCCAGTGAGTAATCTATCTCTAGCACTAGCTATAGGTGCCATTTGAGGAATATCTAGTCGTAGTCTTCTATAACATTTTTCAATGGTCACAGGATAAGTTTACATGCAGTGGTAGCATTAGATAGTAATAGCAAGAATTGGGGAATATATTTGAAGTGGTCAAATTCTATGTCCAAATTATACAGTGTGCCCATAGAAGAGCAAATAAATAAAGAGCCTGATAGTTGTCATAAAAAAAATTTCTATTATTTAACTCTGAGGCAAGTTAGACCTCAGAGACTTATGAATTATGTAGAAGAGATTGATAATTTATTCTCTAAGTCCATTTGGAGTTATGAATTTGAATAGTAATACTCTTAATGATGAAACAATTAACAATGACATTGATTAAACACAGAAGCAAATTACTAAAGAAGGTTATAGAGTTTCTATTTTAAAACATGCAGGAGAGAGGAATCAATAGCTTTAGTTTTAAGCTTTTGTCTGCCTGCAGATAAGAGTTTTAATTAAAAGTGAGTATGTTCTTATAAACGTTTATCTAATTGGTTAGCAAAATATACCTATAACTTCACTTTATGTTGCATTTTAGTGACTTATCTGTTTATATTTCCATATATAATGCTTTCTCAAGTGATGGACAATACAGACATCTCAACTAAAGCTCTTAATAGCTTCATCCAATTATCACTTCATAAAGACCTTTCTCCTGGGTTGTAGAGTTCAGGAAAAATAATTGAAGATTGAATTAGAGTCTCCAAGTGCTATTTTTTTTAAAAAAAAATGTTTTGTTTTGTTTTTACTGATTTCAGAGAGAGAAATATTGAAACATCAATGGTGAGAGTCATCAATTGGCTGCCTCCTGCACGCTCCCTACTGGGGATCGAGCCCACAACCCAGACATGTGCCCTGACCGGGAATCGAACCCTGACCTCCTGGTTCATAGGTTTACACAACCACTGAGCCACACCAGCCGGGCTCCAAGTGCTATTTTTTTCTCTCGGTTGGAGAAGGTACTAACTGAGAAATTAAATTTAAATTGGGCTTGAAATAAGGTAAAGAAAATTTGGCAATACAATAGGATAGAGTAGTATCTTAAAATCTGACTTGAAAAGTCAAGCAATTTGAGAGTAAGCAACTTACTCTCAAATGTTTCAGAAAAATTATATATGTGTAGGCAGGCAGATAAATAGATGCAGAGAGAACGAATAATAAAGTATAGTGAAATGGTAACATTTGGGGAATCTGGATGAAGGGTATATAGGAATTCTTTGTACTATTTTTGCAACTTTTTATAAGACTGAAATTATTTCCAAAAAAAGAGGGGGGAGAGACTGTTATCTACAGTCGCTTCTTGTCACCTTTCTCCCCTCTGTCCTTAGCATGTTTATGTAGACCATGAAGCCTTTTGCATTTGGCTCTCATTTCTCCTCTCCCTTTCTTGCCGTTTTCCTGAACGACTTCAGTGTCTTCAGAGTTGACGTTTTGTTACCCTGAGTCCTTGATTTCCTCCTCTATGTGTACCTTCGCCATCAATCTATTTTATCAACCCATTGCCAGTTAAACCACATCTTGGACTTTGTTTTTACATGTTGCTCATTTTGGAAATTTTCACTTCCTGACTATACCATCTTCTAATTTCAATATAAGAAATGACTTTTTGTTTTTTGTAAATCTATTCCTTCCTTTTAGGGCCTGTTCCTTACAGTCTGTCACTTTTTCTGTATTTCTCATACCTCAAATCCTTTGGCATTTCACTACTTGTCCTTTTTTTTTTTTTTTGTAACAAATGCCTTTGTGAAATCTTCCCAGAGTTTAGCTTTGAGCATCAGTATATCTAGCCATTTGTATTTGGTCTCTAAAGCCCTAGCAGAATCCTTCCTTATCACATTGTATTCATATTATTAGATCAGCTTGCCTTCTTCAATGCACTATAGAATCCTTGGGGGGTGAGGGGTACTGTTTCTTACTTGTTTTTCTAGTACTTATCACAGGGCACAGCACACTGTAGGTTTTCCATGAATTATTAAATTAATGACTAAATGAGAGGGGTCAGACTTTACATACAAATGGCTGAATTCTGATGTAGGATGATGCAATATGGCAGAGTAGAAGAACATTGAGAGCATTCGGGGGATTTAAGCAATATTTGCTAGAATAGGCAAAAAAAGGCAGACAGAAAGGAAAATTTTATAAATCAGCCTTGTTTACTCTAAAGTAAAAGTCTTGATAGAAGAGTATGGATAGTCTGATTTGCAGAGCAGGTTCCAAATGTCCGATGAACAGTTATAGTTAGGAATCTAAAATACAGAACAAGAGTAAAAACATCCAGAATTAATGAGAGTCAAATAACAGAGTGCAGGTTTCTTCAAAAATATTAAACACTTAGAATTGAAATCCAGAAGTGTGGTAGGACTTGTCAAGTTCATTTCAATAATACTACAAAGGGTTCTAATTACTACAGTGCAGGAGGGATCAGCAAGGAGTCCTCTTATTGGGCAGCTCCCACCTCTGCTCTGAGATTGGAGGTAATAGCACAGTCACAGCTGAAAAGGCCCTGATTTGCCGAGAAATCAACAAATCACAAATTTACATTAGGTACACGGAAGTAAGAGAGGTTATAATTGTGGTAAACAAGTACAGGTATCAGGGATGGGGTAAACTAAACACTAGAATGTTAGGAATAAAAAACTGAGAGGAGAAAGATGCTAAACTAGACCCAGAAATACAGAGGTAAAAATATGGGACAATTTGTAGATAATGCAAAGTTTGGTCTCAAAAACAGGTCAAAGAGTCATGACTTAAGATTCTGAAGCAGTTGGTATAGTATTGGCATAAGCAACTGGGGGCTATTTATAGCTATAGCTGGCACATAGTTTTACTTTCTGATGAACTTTTGTACCTCATAAACTGGAGCATAGTATAGGCCCTAATAGTTACTTTTTGATACGTCCCTGGGAACATTTTGTTATTTGATATTGCTACTTAGAATTCTTTCATTTGAGTTATAAATTCTATGGAGTGTTGGAAAGCATGGTTTAGTGATACAGTGGTATACCTTAGAGTCCATTTATAAAAATGTCTCATTCAGATTTGGGGGTTGCATGTGACCAGTACCAGCCTGTTCTAGAAAAGCTGCATGATGAACAGCTAAAGCCAACCAAAACATTTTGAAATGTCAAGAAGCAACAAATAATCTCCAGAAACCTAAAATTGTTAAATTTTAAATCAACATAGAATATAATGTTGAAATTTTATAGATATCTTACAGTATTTAATTATGATAGCACATTTTCCCCAATTCATTCCCTCAAATAAAGTGAAATAAAGAGTAATTTACTAAAAATGGTTTCTGTTCTAGCTTTAGCCACCAATAAGACAATGTCCAGACTTGGGGTTTATAACTGGCTGTACCTAATTTCAGCACATATACAAGCAAAGTATTTCTTTTTAAAGAAAGAATACTTTGTGAGAGGTACCTTATTTATAAGTGCCCCTTTCTGTTTTTATTTTAAAACTACCTCAGATTTGGCTGGTTGGAGACAGCATCATCAATAAGCAGACGATATTCACTTGCTTCTTACAGCTCTGCTTTTTAAAGTTTCTCTGGATATAATAAAGTCCTAGTTATCATCAATGTTAGTTCCTGTTGATCTGATTTACTGGTGAAAGAGTTTGTTTTGTGCACTTGAATGTGTGTCAGTTTCTTCCAAAAAATCAGATATACTCTATTCTTTTGAAACAGCTTAAAATACTAGTTACAGCTTAAAATAATGTTTATGAGATAGCCAGGCATTGCGAAACAGATCCCCTAGTGTATAATACATACCTGATGGAATGGGAGTTAAAAATAATTCTAATATTCATTTTATAATATGATGATGATGATTACAAAAATAATAGCATTTATTGACGTACCAGACAGTAGGCCAAGTTTTTCGCATGTATTAATTCATTTAATCCTCACAGCACCTGAAGTGAGTGTTATTGTATTACCATTGTAAAAACAAAAAACTGAGGTGTGGATAGGTTAGTTACTTGCCCGAAGTTATACACTTGGCAAAGCTGGAATTCTGATCCAGGCAGTCTAATATCGGAGTTCCAGGCACAATATCATTTCACTATAATCATTAATTTATTGCAACCTAGTTTTCAAAGTTTAGGGAGAAAAAGTAATCTGAAAATAATACCTCTAAATCAATGCTTTTCAAGTTTGATTGCATGCTGGAGTCATCTGATCACTCCCAGAGATCTTGATTTAATTAATATAAGATGTGGCCTGGGCTGTAGGATTTCTAGATACTCCTCGGGTTTTTCCAACCCAAAGCCAAGGTTTAAACCACTGTCCTAAGTGCTCACTCACTGTGGTAATGGAAATATTAATGGCAGAACCACACTGTATATACTTATGTGATTACAATAGTAGGACAACTAATAAGTACATGTGTAAAGCTATGAGAGCACTTATTTCTACAAGAATATTTATTTGAATGATTCAATATGTAGCTACGGTGTTTCACATTTCATGTGTTTTTATTTTGTTTTAAACAGCCCATCGTTATACTGACCTTGAGACTACAGGGAGAAATACAAGTACACAGCCAGACGAGCCCCTGACTGAGAATTCTGAGGGAAGCATGCGTCAGAAATCCAGTGAATTAGTTAATGAAGCCACACGCGAGGACACGCAGCCGCCAGAGCAGAAGTCAAGGAGTTTTCCTCATCCAGGTGCTGAGGCAGCTCAGTGCGCTCCTGCAAAATCCAAGTGAGTGCAGCGGCCGGAGAGTGTAAGAGCTGGGAGGACTCTTTTTGCCCCCCTCCCGCCCTGCATTCTCCATTCTTTTCGGCGTGAGTTAACTTTGACGTATCATTAACATATTAGAATTTGGGGAATCTACCAGAGTTTTCTACTGTTTCTGTTATGTCAATATGATGTGTCTAGATCAGCAATTTTCAACTTTTTTCATCTCATGGCACACACAAACTAATTACTAAAATTCTGTGACATACCAAAAAATTTATTTTTGCCAATCTGACGAAACACTAGGTATTAATTTGATTCTTTCACACTGGACAGCTACTGTTGTGTTGGCTGTTGTCATTTTTCTATTTGACAATCTAAGGGAAAAGTGGTCTGTGCCCCTGACTAGTCACGTATTGCATGTTCTAAAAATTCTTGCGGCACATGGGTTGAAAGTCGCTGGTCTAGATCGCTAAGTGAAAATGCACAGGATGAGTTTGAATAAAGGCCATGAGGTTTTATTCTTTTCAGTTAAATATTGTTTTCTGTGACCTTTTATTATGGATCTGGAAATAACTGTCAAGTTGATATTAATAATATATTTTTCAAAATCAGAGCCCAAACCCAGTAGCTCCAGAACAAAATAAGGCCAAAGATGTGGTTTCGGTTAGCATTTTTTTTTTAAAATGAATTTGAATGCTTTGTACAAAAGGGCCTTGTACATTTCATTTGCCTCTGTACTCTTTTACATTCTGCAGCTTTTACTCATTTACCTTCCTTACCTGTCCCATGAAGGGACTTGAATTTGTGACATCTGTGACTTTTACCTGTGGGATTAAGGTACTTCGATAATTATTCATGTATTATGAAAATAGTACTACATTAGAACAATTTTAGTGACTAATATAGTAATATTCAGTTCAGATAAAATTTTATTTTATAGAATACATTTTTATAATTTTACATAAGAGCAGCTATTTCAACTTACTTAGAAATTACTCAGTAGATATATTAATGTTTTCCTACCACTTAACAATGAGTTATATTCTCACTGAAGTACAGATCGGGGTACACTTTTGGGGATTAGGGGTAGGGATGAATGAAGAGGTGATAAACATTTTATAACCACATGAGAAAAACAGATACTAGAGATTGGGCTAAAGCCAGGATATGAGATATCTATCTAGGACAATTGCAACAGAAGATGCACATGGTAAGTAGAGCTGCACTGACTGTCCCAGGCCTCACTGCTTAATTTCTTCTTAGAGTCTCTAAGGTGTAACTGTGCTTACAAATATAAAATACCTTCAAAAACTGTGTGTCTGTTTTCCCTTTCTTGCTTTATACTACTTGCTAATAAGTTGTTTGATACTTTTCTCAAATAGCATGCAAAATGTAAAAAAAAAAAAGTTTGCTTACCCTTAAATGTTACAGGAAAAGGTTTTCATTTTTAACATGTTTTAAATTTAATAATGAAAATATTATACTGTCAACCAAATTGAAAAAGGTAAGATTACTGTTCCCACTTTCAGAAAAGTGAGAAATGTATCTAGTTCTACCCAAAGCAGAGATTGAATTAATATTCACAGCCCCTAAAACCTGAATTCTTTTAAGTATACAGAACCATGAGTCTCTCTAGATGTTACTAAATGCTTTCCACAAATTTACCTCTCTCAGTTGATAGAGTAGCACCTGTATGAAATTGATGCATTTATTCTTTTCACCCATAGGATTTTCTTAGTGCATAACAAGAGAAATTTAAAGTTAAGTAATTTTATATATTTATTGTTAAAATTAAATTCGTCTCTCCCCATTTGAAGGGTAAAAGTTATAGATCCTCTCTAGTAGAAATCATGTTTATGTTGTATAATAGGGGTTTTCTTTATTACAGCACTATGGAACATACAGATAATGGTTTGCATTATGAATGTATGATCCCTTGTCAAGTTACTTCAGACTTAAGTAAAGAGAAGACTATAGCATTTCTTCAAACAGAATTGGACATTCTCAGAGCAAGCAATGAAAAGGTAACTTATAGAAAAACCTGTTAATTGTACAGTGTGCTTTTAGCTATTGACCTCCTAAACTTTTCAGTTTTACTGTGTACTTTTATCTTCTAACAGTAGCTCTATGTCGTTGCCATATCATGCCATCAGGGTATGAATGAGTTGAGAGATTGGCTATAAAGAGCAATTTCTTTGGTTGCCTGCCTTTGCTGGCCTGTAATATCACTTCCTTTTTCATAAATCTATGGTACCTCAAATAGATATATAAAAAAAGATTCATTCAGATTTTACTGTGGTAAAACTTTGTATTTCAGTATTTTGCAGAATGAGAAATTTAATGCACTGGTTTCATGTTACTTTCTTAACTACTTTTTTTTATTAGTATCTTTGCCCTATATTTTACCTCAATAATATATGTAATTAAACTTTAAAGTAGCAAGACTTGGCAACATCTTCATTTACCTTATCTTATACTGTTGTGTTTTGTCCAACCCAATTTGTTATGTCACATATTACCTTTTCTGATTCTGTTTCTAGTTACAGTCCTTTGAGCATTAAATAATGTTATTAAATAATGTTCATTTTTCTATGCCTTCTGTTTTTTTTTAACCTCCACATACTTGTCTGATTTTAATATTCTAGTTGTTGACCTAATCAAACTGAAGGGTGATATTAGGAATGTTGCCCATGTAAGATGGAAAACAAAACAAATGACAAAAGCTGAGGGAGGAATTTAAAAACAAAACAAAAACTATTTGGAGGGATTCTGTATGAGAGCTGGAGATGTTTTCTGTCCTTTCATTTAGCAGTTATTTATTACATGCCAATTCTGAATCAGGTGCCAGCGACAATTTAAATGGAATATGATGGATAGCATTCTCAAAGAGAGATTGGTTTCAGATACTAAGATTATTATCTTAAGTTTGTTTCAAAATATTAAAAATACTAAGAGAAGCTGTTCTGTTTTTTTTTTAGAATAGTCCCTCCTAAGTCTTTGGCTTTTTTTTAATAATTATGTTGTTCCGTCATTAATTGTATTTACCTACACATACAAACACACACACACACACACACACACACACA